TGCACCCCATCATCTGTGCCCTCCCATCGCCCCTGGGCGCCCCCAGCGCCTTGTCCCTGGGCTCCCTGTGCCTGGGGGGCTCCCTGTGCCTGGGGGGCTCCCTGGCCGCGCACCCACGGGGGGCTCGGCATGGCCGCCCTGGCCAGGGAGAGGACACAGGCGTCGGCCCACGTGGACGCCAGAACGTCCCGGAGGCCGCCGGCGAGGCGTCGGGGCGCGGGGAGCTGGGCAGCCCAGTGGGCCCTCGGCCCCCCAACACCGTCGTCTCCACGCAACAGCGTGGGCGGCTTCCAGTAGGCGTCTACACGGCCGAAGTCACGACGTGGACTTAGGTGGCTTCAGACGCCGGTTGCCCCCGGATTGCCCTGGAGAATCCAGCCCCGTGGTGTGCCCCGGGGAGAACCCACAGCCTCGGGGTCACGCGCCCCAAAAGGGTGGCGATGGTCAGCCGGCACGCCGGCCAGGCCGGAGGATGGAACGCACCTGCTGTGTCCCGCCGGGCCCCGCCCGGCGTGCACAAAAGCCCCTTTGTCCATCAGTGTTGGTGTGTGCCCACATTGTGGGGTTCCACCGTCGCCCCCTGCACCCCACTCTTGACTTCCCACCGGGCAGTATCTGTGCCCGCCCTCCTCCCTCATTTCACTCGGCCTCTTCCCGTCCAGGCCCACGGAGGTCAGCACGGAGGGCGAGGCGCCGTCCTTTTTCATGGCCGAGTAGTATTCCACGGGCGTCTCCGTCCACTGCTCTTCGCTGGGGCGTGTAGGTCACTTCTGTGGGTCATCCGCTGTGCACAGACAGAGCTGCCCTGAATGTGGCCGCGGGGACCAGCGCTGCCCGCATTTTGGGGGGTCCGCAGCGCACTGGGCGCCCGCGTCCAAGCTCAAGTGTGAGGCGCAGAGACGTGCGTCCTGGCTCTGCCCTGGACAGAGGCGGAAACGCTTCAGGGGTCGGACGGTCGGCAAGGCCGGGGGACAGTTTCCATGCCCCCCGCATTTGCGATTCTTGGCCTTTTGGGGTCTTGGGGCTCTGGGTCCGGGCCGGGAGGCCCCCCGAGACCGGCCGTTGGGGTATTACTTCCGAGCCAGGCCCAAATCAGAGCACCCGCCTCGTGCGCGATGGACAGGTCTCCGCGGTCTGGTTTCGGGGAATTCTTTCTGCAATGTCCCCCCCGACGCAGACGCCCCCCTGTTCCGACTCTGGGCCAGCCGGCGCGGACGGACTGGCTGCCCTCCTCGGGCTGGACGCCTGAGGACGGTTTCCGCGCTCGGTGCACGGCAGCGTGACCCGATTGTCCGTTGACAGACAGCGGACGGGGTTGCTGAAGAGCCGGAGATGCTGGCCGAGGGCAGCGGGACTCAGTCCCACTCGCCGCCTGCCTTGCGCTCTGTCCTCCCCTGCCTGACCTCTGTCCCTCTCGGGCCCCCGCTGGGTCAGCTTGTCTTCCGCTAGCCTCTGCCCCATTTCCCTGTCGTCCACCTACTCCCAGCTCCGTCTATATGGCCACGAGCCACACACACACACACATACAGCGAGCTCATCCTTTTTCAGGGCTGCGTAGTACTCCGCCGCGTCTCTACCCCACCACTTCTCCATGCACTGGTCCGAGTGTAGCTGCCCGGGGTGGGGGGGTGCATCCCCGTATTTCCGCCGAACCCCCAGCACCGAGCTGGGCTCCCTCTCCTCTCGCTTGGTTTTCCAGGTTCAACAGCATCCAGGCTCTGTCGGCCAGCTCCTTCGCCGGCCTGAGCAAGCTGGAGCTGCTGCTGATCCACGGCAACGAGATCCCAAGCATCCCCGATGGCGCCCTGCGGGACCTGAGCTCTCTGCAGGTGACGCCGGCCTCCGGGACCCGCCCCCACCCCCCGGGGTGCAGCCTCTGTGCCCGGGTGCAGGGAAACTGAGGCTGTCCCGGGAGCACCCCCACCAGCATCCCCACCGCCTCCCGTGTGCTCTGCCCGCTGCCTGGCCTGACCTCTGTCCCTCTCTGGCCCCTGCTGGGTGAGCTTGTATGTCTTGTCCTTTCCTTACCCCGTGCTCCATTTCCCTGTCGTCCACCTACTCCCAGCTCCCTCCATATGGCCACACAGCCTTCGGGTCCGTCCTTTTTCACGGCTGCATAGTATTCCACCGCGTCTCTACACCACCGCTCCTTGATCCGTGGATCCGCCCCTGGAAATGTTGTCTGTGGCAGACACTTTTCCCGCCCTGTGTATCCCAAAGGCGGGTTTCACACCATCACCGCCCCTCCTCTCCTGAGCCCGTGCTTTTTCACAGCTGCATGGTATTCCACCGCCGCTCTACACCACGACCCCTCGACCCGTGGGTCCTTTTCATGGCTACATAGTATTCCACCGCATCTCTACACCTCCGCTCCTCATCCATGGACCCGCCCCTGGAAACCTTGGCTCTGGCAAACACCTCCCCCCCCACCGTATATCCCAAACGCGGGTTTCCTGCCATCACCGTCCCTTCTCTCCCAGACCGTCCTTTTCATTGCTGCATAGTATTCCACCGCATCTCTACACCTCCGCTCTTCCATCCATGGACCCGCCCCTGGAAACCTTGGCTCTGGCAAACAGCTTTCCCTCCTTGCATATTCCGAAGTGGGCTTTACCCCATCACCGTCCCTCCTCTCCCAAGCCCTCCTTTTCACGGCTGCATAATATTCCACCACATCTCTACACCTCCGCTCCTCATCCATGGATCCGCCCCTGGAAACCTTGGCTTGGCAGACAGCTTTCCCGCCCTGTGTATCCCAAAGGCGGGTTTCCCGCCATCACCGTCCCTCCCCTTGGCCAAGCCCGTCCTTTTCACGGCTGCATAGTATTCCACCGCATCTCTACACCTCCACTCCTCATCCATGGACCCGCCCCTGGAAACCTTGGCTCTGGCAAACACCTCCCCCCCCATATCCCAAAGGCGGGTTTCCCGCCATCACCGTCCCTCCTCTCCCAGACCGTCCTTTTTCACTGCTGCATAGTATTCCACCGCATCTCTACACCTCCGTTCCTCATCCATGGATCCGCCCCTGGAAACCTTGAGTGTGGCAAACACCTCCCCCCCCATATCCCAAAGGCGGGTTTCCCGCCATCACCGTCCCTCCTCTCCCAGACCGTCCTTTTCACTGCTGCATAGTATTCCACCGCATCTCTACACCTCCGCTCATCTATGGATCCGCCCCTGGAAACCTTGGCTCTGGCAAACACCTCCCCCCCACCGTATATCCCAAAGGCGGGTTTCCCGCCATCACCGTCCCCCCTCCATGGGCCGCCGGCCTTGTACCCCGTCACCGCCAGGCTCTTCCGCCTCCGTCTCCGCAGGTCCTCAAGTTCAGCTACAACAAGCTGAGGGTGATCACCAAGCAGACGCTGCAGGGGCTGGCCAGCCTCCTGCGGCTCCACGTAGACCACAACAGGATCGAGTTCATCCACCCCCAGGCCTTCGAGGGCCTGACCGGCCTCCGCCTGCTGCACCTGGAGGGCAACCGGCTTCGCCAGCTGCACGCCGGCACCTTGTCCACCTTCACCTTCCTGGACTACTTCCGGCTGTCCACCGTGCGGCACCTGTACCTCGCGGACAACCAGCTCAGCTCGCTGCCCCCGGGGCTGCTGGACAGCATGCCGCTGCTGGAGAACCTCTATCTGCACGGGAACCCGTGGGCGTGCGACTGCGGCCTCCAGTGGTTCTCGCGCTGGGAGGCGGGCGCCAAAGGTGAGAGGGTGCGCGGTGGCCGGGCTGGGGGCACGGGGAGTCTGCTGAGGTGCCCCTGGCCGCTGGCGGGGCTCAGGCGTGCCGGGCACTGCACGCGTCGTGTCCAGCCGGGGGCGGAGGCCTGGAACGGGCCCCTGGGTGTGCGTAGGGCCGTGCCCAGGCGCCTCGGGACACGGGCAGGGGGAAGCACCACGTTGGAGACGGTTCTGTGCGGCGTGAGGCAGACAGTGGCTGCGGCAAGGTCCATGCTCTGTGCTCGCCCCTCGCCCCGCCCCCAGCTCGCGCCCCGGCCTCAGGGCCCCCCGAGGTCAGCAGATGCCGAATCTCCCGGCTCCTGCCCGCAGCTGCAGCCTGCTCTGTCTCTCCAGAGCCTCGTGGCCAAAGCTCGCCCTCATGGGAGCTCCCACAGGCGCGTCCTCCCGGGCGGCGGGGTCCCCCCGTCCGCGCCCCGCCGGCTGCCGGCCCACAGCTCTCCCGCGGGGTCCCTGCCCCTTCCCACTGTCATTCCAGCTCAGGGCTCCGCTCAGGCTCAGCGTCCGCCCTCAAGGGCTCCGCAGGAGCCGGCGGGCCCGGCTGCACCTTCCCGGTCCAGCCGCGGGTCACCGCGACGGCCTCGCCTTGCGCCCGGCCGTGTGGGTCCGCAGGGGCCCCGGGGGCGCCCAGCTTGGGGTCAGGATGAGCAGCCAGCAGCAGGCGGGATCCCCAGAAGGGAATAGTACGACGGGAATAGTCGTAGCGAGAGCGCAAACTTGCACACGCCGGTTTAGACCAGACGCCCGTCGGGGAAACGTGCGCCCGAGGCCAGAGCGCTCCGGTGGCGCGGGGTGGTGTGAGTGCGAGGTGCGAGG